TATATATATATATATATATATATATATATATATATATATATATATTTTTTCCCCAACTATATATATATTAAATTAATCAAAAGTGACAGTAAAGATATTAAAAATGTTGCAAAAGATTTCTATTTCTAATAAATGCTGTTCTTTTGAACTTTCTATTCATCAAAGTATCAAAAGAAGAAAATGTCCGGTTTCCACAAAAATATAAAGTAGCACAACAATTTTCAACATTGATAATAATTTAAAAAAAAAAATGTATTGAGCAGCAAATCAACATATTAGAATTTATTTATTTTTATTTTTTTACAAAAATACTTTGTCAATTTTTTTCAGTTTCTGAAGGATCATGTGACACTAAAGAATGATGTAATGATGCTGAAAATATATTCAGCTTTGAATAAATTACCATTTAAAAATATTTTTAAAAAAGGAATCAATTTCACAACATTCCATTTTTGATCAGATGAAGTCTTGGTGAACATTAGAGACTTCTTGCATTAAAATATATTTTGGAAGATGTGTAAATATCAAATTTATGATTTGCATAAATAAAGAAATAAATAAATTCATAGAAAAAAGTAAATTGAAGAAAAAATAAAATGAAAAAGGAGAAATATAGACGTTTTTGTCTAAATGTGCTCTTTTGGTTTCTCTTTAATTTGCGTGAGTAAGTCGGGCTCATTCACCTGGCATCGCCGCGCCCTCCTTCTCTGGAGCTCAGCGCTTCAACATGTCATGCCACACGCCGTCCCCGCGAGGCCACAGCATCCTGACCTCACCCAACAGCACCCTGAATGATACAGCCCTGCTTCAGGAAATGGAGCCAATACTTCCAGACCTCTGCATTGAGCAGCTGTGGACAGAAACCAGCGCTATCTCCAGGTGCAGAGCCTCATGCCTGAGTTTTGATATCCTGTGTTTGAGCCGAGAGCATCAAGTTACTGTTGATTTATGTCCTGAAATCAGTGTTGTGTCTGTGCTGTTCAGGGAGAAAGGCTGCCAGGCCTCTAAGGTCTTCATCACCTCTGACCTGTGTGAGAACAGGTACCTGTGCTTCCTGGTCGAGTCTCACCAGCAGCTCAGGTGAATGTGTGGCTTATTTATTTTACTTTTACTTCTATAGCTTTCTTAGTATTTAACTGCTTTAAAGCTCTAGCGCTTAGTCGCATCTCTTTTGTGTGCTGTTTTCAGGTGTGTCAAATTTCTTGAGAGCAATGAAACTTCTCAACTGATATTTGCGTCAGTGACCGTTATCACCGCAAAAGATGCTGCCCCTCTTGAGGTGAGTTTTTGAATTGGTCAAAATATACTTTATATCTTTTTGAGAGGAAATATGTCAAACATTTTGTCATCGGGATGTGTCTTAAATATTGAAAAAATGTTTTTCTAATTTATCTTAACTGTTGTTAAAGTTGAGATGAAACTGAAGTGGTGACAGATATTTTCTTCCTCATTGTGACGTACATCTGAGTGAAATGGATTATAGAAAAAGAAGAAAAATATAGGGTGGAGACTTTGTTCTGTGCTTGTTGATTGAATTTTAAGATGTGGTAAGATTTTATATA